AAAACTTCTTTGAAATAGCGAATGTCGGGTACTAAAGTACTATACATGGAGAATACATGCAGTTAATGAAATATAGCAGCTGTAAGAATTCCAATAAAAAAAGTGCACTTGGCCGCAGCAAAAATATGTTAAAATGATGGATAGGGTTAAAAAACTCAATGTCCAATGTAATTTCTTTCACATGACCTTTATCAAAGCAAATGTTTCGCATGACCTTTATAAAAGCAAATATTAAATGATTGGCTTCTCGTCCCATGGTATTTTCTTATTATACATGTCTGTAATGTAACGTTAACGTCATTATGATCATTTCTTTCTTTTTAAATGCTTTTGTTTATTATTCGGGAAGAATAGGAACAAATTTCTGGAACACGCTGCACATAAAATTATGAAAAAAGTATTTCGCAGCTATAGTTTGATACGAATTTTTCTGGAAAAGTGAAGTATTTCAAAAGCATTTTTCTATTCTGTTGTTGGATTTGCCATCTTTTAGAAGAAAACATTCAATTACTCAATTTGTTTTTTAAGAGAAACTTTTTTTTCTGCAGACTGGTCTACATGTGGAAGATCTCTTTGTTGATCTCACCGATGGATACAATCTTATTGCATTGCTGGAGGCACTTTCCGCTGAGAAGCTGGTATGCACATTCATCATAATAACATTGTTAGGACTAAATCTGTACATTTCTTTTTTATTTACTATTACTCATACAGTAATAGAGGTCGAACCGCATTTCAACGCACTTTTGCATTTTTTATATGAATTTCTTTAAACAATATTGCATAAAAATTCTATTCCAAGTTAATTTTCCAATACTTCTTTTACATTTTTGTATCAGTGATGTCAGTTTTTTTCTCTCCAGATCTTATCATTTAACTGAACCAAAAGTAAAGTCGTCATTGGTTCTAGGGAAGAGGGGAGGGGGGTATGTTTGAGTCTTCGTTTTTCTGAAAGTCCTAATATTTTTATTGATCGCTTTCCGACACTGTTGTCAGTGGTCGTTTTAAAAGATAAAAAAAAAATAAGTTTTCAAATTAACCATAAAGCTGAGAATAGTTTGAACATTACATTTACGTAATTAATAGCTGCTATAGAAAGCTGTTCACATATTATCAGTAAACTAATACCGTTTCTTTTCTTACTAATTTTGATAACAAACCATTTTGATAACAATTTGATAATAATTTAGCTCACTACCACAAAAATTTTTATTTTAATTAAACTCCTACTTTATGATTCTTCATTTGTCAACATATTCATCGCGAACTAAACTTTCCTCATTTTCGTCCCCACTTTCGATGACTCATTTTTTGAACGCATTATTTGGCAGCACAGAAAGCTTGTTTCTTTAGAAAACAAAACTTTCTGTTTTCGAAAAGAAAAATTAATTAATCAGTCAATCACTTTTTGTGCTCCATAAATTAACCAGTAACCTGTTCTTATAGTGAAGTGCTACAAAAGTTCATAACAGCTTCTATACCTTCTGTATGAATTGGAATTCCTTCAGAAGAGAGCACAAATAATTAATCATAAATCATTCCGTTGAAAAATTCCTTGTATTGTCTGTAGATTTCATATCTGAGAAAAGAAAACCCTTGAAGAAATATTAAATTTCAGATGAAAAACAGCTTTAAATAAATAAATGCATAAGTCAACAGGAAGCATTCTATTCATCTTCGATCTCATACAGCGATTGTTGAATTATAAATCACTACTATGTTATGAAGTAAACTGTCCAGTAAATGAGTTTCGAAGAATTTTTGGACTATTTTAAAATTCATTGAAACTCTAATTTGCTATTTACTATACCTTGCTTGCATAATCCAATAAAACGGCCATTATGAGTAATTGTTGGAATGATTGTTTCAATACTTCAAATTTCAGTTTTAATTTTAGTTTTTTTAGTCTCGCGAAAATGGGTTTACACGCTTTCATAGGATACAAAATGTTCAGTATTGCCTGGATTTTTTGAAAAAGAAAAATGTTAGTTTTAAATTTGGATTTCAGCCCCATCAGTTAATTTTTACTTTGGAAAATCATAACATATTGTAAAGTGCGACTCTTATATATCAAGCTTTATTGAAAACTCATATCTTTTTTATAAATTAAGTTGATTCCGTCCAATTTAAAGTTTACAATTAAAATTTAATAATTTTTAATTCCAGATAAAAACCGTCAATATTCGACCAGAAGATATTGTGGAGGGAAGTCCGAAGTTGACTTTAGGACTTATCTGGACGATTATTTTAAACTTCCAAGTTTCTGTAATCAAGCAACGTCAACGCGAAGTTCCTGGTTGTCAGGTGTGCTATAACGTCATTTCACCTACTCTTTTAAATTATGATGAAATATTTTATTGAAAGGACAAAACAGTTGGACGTAGTGATTTAAACTTTTTAGATATTCTTATAAGTTTAGCGGTATCTTATTTTCATCTCCTTCCTCTTGTAAAAGCTTTCATTACATTTTCTTGAATAGACTGTTTTCATTTTGCTCTCTACAAGAACAGAAAACATTGAAGACTCAAAATTTAAAGTTAGCGCAGTAATAGCTGCATATAAGCTTGATATTTTTTGCAAAATTGATTTTATCAAAAACATTTACTGTAACTTTTATAGGGTTTATTTATGAGTCATTTTAAAGATTAGTCTGTTCTCGATCTCAGTTGATTTTTTGTTTCCCATTTCTCTACTTTTTAAAAAATTTCTTTTCTCAGTCACTTAAGTTTAAATAGCCGCTTCTCAAATCATCCACTTTATTTTTAGTGAATTTCAGTCAGATCGTTTGAAGCTGTTTCTCGCTCTACAAAAAATTTATTTTCTTAGAGACTGAGTGGTATCTTCTAAAATAAAAGCCTTGAACTTTGCCACAAGTTGAGGGGGCGGTTTTATTAAGCTCACCAATTTGTCTTTGAATTTGGGAAATGTAAATTTATGAAATTCCGTTGAACAAAGTGAATGAGGATCTGAAAAACAGTAGAGTAAATTATTTTACAGAATTTTATAACTTTTCTCTAGTCAGTGTTTAGTCTGGACATGCTTTTCTTAGATGAAGGAAAAGAATTAAAATATATAAGATTGGAAAATAGAACTGTGATCTAATAGTATTTTAATATTCATTTCAACATTTTCATCTGCAGTAAAATACATACTAGATTTATTGCATTGGAAATAAATGGAGGAAGGAACAATGCACTTTTTTCTTAGTCAGTCCAATGAATTTTCTTCTTGTGCTGGTCTTATGTTTTTAACGACCAGTTATAATTGCTTAGAAAACGTGTTTATTCTACTTCTGAAGTTTTTATAATACTTATTCATGATAAAAATAGAATTTTAAGCGGACTTGTCTTGATTTTTATTAATTTTCAAACTTAAATGTGATTCATGAATCACCAAAGCATGTGCTGATCAGTAGAAATTGTGATCGATATACGTGAATGCTCAATTCTAGTATATATATATATCGTGTACTTGAAAGAGAAGTAATTCACTCTTTCCAAAATTCTTTTTCATTTAAGAAAAAAAAAGTTTATTGAGAAATAAGATAGATAAAACATATGTGAATAGCGAAGAGAACCAGTTCTCGAATTCGTCGTCAAACCTTTGTGCAGCAGAGATGCAGATGACTGCTACTAGACCACTTGCACAATACCACAATGCAGAAGTGTTCAGAATGCATAACATGAAAAATGACCGAGAATCGGATGGAAGTGGTGAATAAATAGTTATTGATGGATGATTCAGCTATTATGTGAAATAGGGTTACTTTGCACTCTTTCGTTGGAACTAAATTGTTTACATATATATAATCTGACTGTTCTGCTCGTTACTGTTTAAACGCGATGTTTAAAATTTAGAATTGGAGATGAACAGGAGTAATTAAAGACTGCACCAACGAGAGAACTTAGTGGAGCAGAGAAGTTTAGCAAGAATGTTTCGTTCAGCAGTTTTGTAAATAGACAGTTATTTGAAAACTGTACCACCTGCTCATTTCAGTAGTGCTTAAGGAATGCTATAATCAGAATAGAGTCTCTCAACTAGGAATCTTTCCCGATATTAGAATCTGGAATTATTTCTGTGGTTATATGAACAATGAAGAGAGATCTGTAGCAGTTATTAGTGAAGAATTACAGCAATGTTAAAAAGGTTGATCGGTCTATTTCATGCTTGAATTCATTTCTTTGCGATAGATTTGAAGGTGAAAGGCTCCTTCTCCCTTTTCCCATTCTTCTCAAAAAAGGTTCTCGTTCATAGCCTTCAAAACGCTGCATACAATATACTGCTATATGTCTTATGTGTATGTATGTATCTGTGTGTGTACATATATATATATGTGTACATATTATATACATACACTTATGAGGTGTACTGTGTAGTGGGAGGAGATATTTCGGGGAATGAAGGAAACTGTGGTGCTGCTGCAGGAGGAATACTTTGTAATTGGACAGTAGCAAGGGAAGGAAAGTTCATAGAAGGAAGATCTGTTACATTCAGGGCACCGGTAGTGGTAAAACCTGAATAGAGGCGGACTCCAATTTAAGAGATCACCGATGGAGATGATATTGAAATACATGGCGTTTGTTGTGGCACTATAGAGGAGCTGCTTGCAATAAGCACAGGCACCGTCCTTAACTGTTCTACTTTTTGCGCCCCATATTACTATTCCTTTCTGTAGTAATAATAGTAACAGTTAGTATTTGACTGCATCAGAATTGCAGCATTTAGTTGAAATCATACTTGGGCACACTGTTTACCGCACCAGTCATTTTTTCTCATTTTTAGTTTCGAGTCTCCCACCGTTGTGCGCTACTGGTGGGATAACTTTGCTACGTAATTATGGTGCACAAGAGAGTGCTGTGTATACGTGTGCTATACATACATATATATATATGTGACGCACATTCCTGTCATATATAAACTATCTGTCTTGTATCGTTTTTCCCTATTCTTCTATCTTCAGCTTATTCTTATTCTATACAACATCACGTATCATTTGGGTAATGTATAAAGTGTTGCGCTCCTATACCAAGAAGGCGGAACGTAAGCATGAATTAACTCGATCAACTGCCAACACCGCTGAAAAAGTTAATGGTTATTCGGTAACTGATGGTACTGCTTCATCTCCTATTTACAATATATCACCATCTTATGGTATCGGTGTTGGCACAATAGAAGATGTACGTAATGGCCAGGTTGTTCCAGTAGATAGAAATGGACATATTGAAGCTGCATGGCCTGGTGGACAAGCATTCTCGGAGAGTTCTTCCTATGAAGCGCGAGAACATTTTGAGCGTAAAGTTCAGCGTGTTAAGAAAACACGCGGCGAACGAGACAGTAATCGGAAATCTAAGAAAAGCAAAGTTGGTTCTTCCATTTCATTGCTGCTTTTTACGTTCCACCTAACGGTAAAAATAAAATATGAATATAAAATGTTGAATATAAAATAAATCTGTATAAATATCTCTGATGTTGAAAAAACTTCATTGTATAATTTAAATTGATGAAAACTATAGTTACATGTATTACTACGTTCTGGGCGTTCACTGTGAAGTTAATTTAATTCTTTCTAATGAGATTATTATTAGTTCAATATGAAGAATGAATGTCAGACTTTGATGTAAAGATCGTTTATCTTTTAAATTTAGCCTCGTTCACTATTAATTATTATTAATGCAAATGCATACGACTATATAGGAATACATGAGCTTGTCGAAAGAAGTAAACATCGTTTAAACAATAAGTCATATTTTGGGAATTAAAGCAATAGACTTCAGTTCATTTCTCTATTGTAATCAGATGAATGAACCTTTTTCATATTACTGTATATAAATAAACAACTCTTCCTTCCTTCATATTTTATAATTAATTATTGTAACTAAACATATACTAATACTAATTTGCTTTAAGTGTCGTAGAATTTTTTATTGTGTTGCGACTTTTGTAATTTCCGACATTTTCTTAAAAACACCTTTCTCTTTCATTTTTTTTTTGAGATTCATTCCAAAAATTTTTCCTAAAATTAATTTGGAAAGTCTTTAGAATTTTTGATGCTTTTTTTGGACTTTGAAAACAGTGTTTGAAGATACTTATTTTTCATCCTTTTGTAATTTCTTTTGTCAGATAAATCGGTCATTTCATAAAGTTCCTCTCACCACACTAACTGCATTTTATTTATTTTTTTTTCTTCACCCAGTATTTCATTATTTTTATGGACACTGTTAGTTTTTAGAAATTAATGAAACATGTGAAAAAAAATGGATCTGCAAGGTAAGCAACTCTGTTTACGGCAGATTGAGAAAACTTTATGTTGTTGGGAGTGAGAAATAAATCATGTTTGAAAATAAATGCAAATATTACGAAAGTGACAGGTTAATAGGAATAACGAAAGAGAAAAGAGGCTAAGAGGATGGGCTCAATGCGAGAAGTATCAGCATTATTGGAAGGGATTTTGTTCTTTCGAGTTTCTTTTGTGGTATCGTAATATCAAAACTGAAATTTCTAAGATTTTGAATTTTTGCTTAAACATATAAAATAATCTGTCAATTTATTTCCCACTAAAAGTATACTTTTTTTTTAGGTGTCAGAAGTACTATCCAGCATAGACGGTACTTCAGCACGAGATGCTCTATTACAGTGGGCGCAAGATGTTACACGTGGATACCCAGGCGTTAATGTCCGTAACTTTACTAGCAGTTGGAGAGATGGTTTAGCCTTTAATGCCATCCTTCATCGTTATCGACCAAATCTTATACAATGGAGTAAAGTATGTTGTTGTTTTTCATGATTGAATAATAACCTCTTTCTACTATCCAGATCTGATACTGAGGTTAAAATGACCTCCGTTGCTGATACACAATGCGTATATTTAAATAGGAGAAATTAGGGAAAGTAACATGTTGGCTTATAATTGATAAATGATATCTTCCTGTATCCTTCCGTCCGGTCATCCATTGGAATAATAACCGGATAATCTCAATTGTAGCTAAGAAACATTATTTCTGGTGTGCTACTTGTAACTTGTAAAGCTTATGTGAAAAATTGTGTCGTCAAACAGTTGATAATTTCAGATAATTGGCGAAGGTGTATCAGCTCGCGATCGTTTGAACAATGCATTCGCAGCAGCTGAAAGTGAATTCGGTGTATCCAGACTGCTGGATGCAGAAGATGTTGATGTGGATGTGCCGGATGAGAAGAGTATCATCACCTATGTCTCTTCCCTATACAACGCTTTGCCACATACTAGTGAATTGAGCAGAGTCAGTTTTATCTTCTTTATTTATAACGTTAGAGGTTGTTTGACTATCATTCTCGACAGAGTGATTTATTATCCTTAAAAAGGTTAAGAATAGAGGAGGCATTCTTCTTAACTGTGCTTTTAAGTTAAAAATTTTAAATTTAGTTAACAAAGAGTGCTACAAACTTTTCTTTATTTTTAACATAATTTATATAAAAGTGTATCTTCAAGAAAACATTTTGTGTTTTTTTTTTTTAGAATTGATATAATTGTAGGCTAACCTCCATCCTACGTTTTAGGCATTAATAAGTTTAAACCGCAGTCACTGTTGTGTCTTCTTTTTTGATTTGGGACATTTTCAGTTTTTATAACAGTAAAGTCTTATTACTTGCGAATGATTTTCAATATTTTACTTTAATTATATGTTTCGGAGAGGAGATCTCAATTTTGATGTCTTATCACCAAAATGAAATATTTTTAGAATCCCTTCAGGTTCTTTAGATTTGTTATTAGATGGAAATATTTACAATTCTAGTACCAAGCTGTTTCACTTATGTGGCATTTGTTACGAATTAAAAGGTTGAAAAATAATAGCTATATATAAATAATATTTAATAATAAGCATCTGAGATGCAATTTAAATTGGCAGTCGGAAGACGAAACGGTCTTTGAATAATTAGTTGGATCTCTAAAACTTTTGTTTTTGATAATTTTGGCATGTATGTTGCAAGGGACTCAAGCTAAATAGCTTTTTGCAAAGGAGAATTATCTCTTTCATCATTTTTAGTAGTTTGACTAACTGTAACAATTTACTGAAAGTTAATTTGGATTACTAATTTACATCTTGCACTGCAGTATGTGGTACAGAAGTCAATTTACTAAACAAAATTTTGTACAAATTTGATCTACTAATTAAAGTATTAACCAACAGAAGCTGAATTAATTACTTTCAGTATAAGCTGCTAGTATGTTGGTATTAAATTTCCAAAGATATTTTCAAACAATTTGCTAGTAAAAAAGTAAAAAACTTTTAAGGTTTTAAAGTTTTCGTTTGTTTTCCTTATAAATTTCAAAACTGTTTAATATTGTTTAATTTATGGATGCTGTAAAGGATGGATGATGCCTATACATACTATTTGCTTCTATTTTTTGAACCACCAGTTGTGCACTGACAATGTTTTATATTTTCCACTGTTCCTCTAAGACCTTCTTTCAGGATGAGTACAGATTTTGTATGACTGGTGTCTTTTTGTGTTTTTTATAAAAACATTTTTAGATTCTGCAAATTAAACTGTAAATCCTAAAATTCTGTTTCGATTTGAGTGTATGAATTATTTAAAGTCATGTCATAGGGAATTGATTTACAATTAATTTCACTCAACGTCACTAAAATTAGATGATTATGCGGGATATCAATGAAGAATTGTGGAAGTTCTTACAAAAAACAAAGAATTATTCCTCTTATAAGAGGAATAATTCTTTGTTTTGAGAAAATAGTCAACTTTTTTTGCTTTTAGCCAGAAATGATTTGCCGAAATTCCGGAATGAGATCATTTGGAGCTTCAAAGTAGTTTACATGAAACATAGTTGGATTACAACTTCTTAATTTCTAAAACTGTACAACACATTTATTGGTTTTTTTTTTTTTTGCACGTACTTTAATCTATTGCTCTGGGTAGTTTGATGTCGCCAACTAACTAAGATGATAATTGTTGCCATGTTCAGTATGAGGATGTGATGTATGAATATGAACGTGAAGCGGCGGAATGGTTACACTGGGTAGAGCGAGCTACCCGTCTCATGGATGATCGTCAATTGCCAACAAATCTGGTAGAGTTACGCCGATTAGAACATGACCTGGAACGATTCAAATCTGAAGATTTGTCACCAAAAGCACGTGAAAAACAGCGTTTAGCAGATCATTACGCTGAACTTCATCAGCTTTTTGAATGTACCGAACATTTGCATATTCCTACAGAGCTAAGCACACAAAACCTAGATCAATCCTGGCAACGATTACTTCAGTCACTCAGTGAACGATTCAGTCTGATCGAAAAGCAAGTCGGAGTTCAGGTATTTGAAGATGTCATGATGTGGATATTTATTATTTATTTTTATTGTTATTGTTAATCTCTGCATGCTTTGCTATTCACCTTTTCAGCTGGTTTATGCTGCTTTAGTTCTTTCACTTGTCTAGTCCATGTATTGTTTGTCCCTAACAAAAAGTTCAAACAAGTTTATGCTTTTATCCAACTTCTCTCACAGATTGGTGGCATCAGCTTTTCAAAGTGGGATTGTACACAGTGTAGAAGAGAGCGGAAATAACAGCGGGAAGGACTTTTAATGGAGTACCAAATTAAAACATTGTTGATAATAATGAACGGAGTGTACTCTTTTGATATATTTACTTAATAAAAAGCTGTTAATATTATCAGCCGTTATTAGCAGAAAAAAATGTAAACCTAATTATCATTTCGGTATATGTATTCTATTAAGTTACCATAGAGTCTTTTATAGCAGTGAGATGTGTAGACAAAAAAGAGCTAAACCAATAAAAAAATTGAATATTTTTCTTTGATTAAAAAAGACTTTTATATTTCCTGTTCAATATCAGAAGTTCCTTTTTTGGCGTTAATATTCGTTTGCGCTCCTTTGTATTTTTTTAGATGCATAATTGTTTTTTTTTTTTTTTTTATAGTAATTGTGCTAGCACTGTGATCTTCGGAAAATATGCTTTTTTTAGGGATGCTTTTTTCCATTTACGAATTGCCTTTCTACGCTTTATAGCATGTTAAAAAATCGTGCTATTCTTTTTTGTTTTTGGAAACAGATGGGTTCCATGAGTTATATGCCAAAACTAGAAACATTACCGTTATGAGTTAGACATTTGTTTTATCATGGATTTGACAAATGGTTTAAAAAGAAAGAAATGATTTCATAGTACGGATGTGATCTTTTTTAGATTAGTCGACAGTGCATGTAACTGCTTTTCTCAATGAAGTTCCCTTTATCTTTCCGGATACACTGATGAAGCCAGCTGTTATTGAAAATTTTCCATTTTAAACTTTTCAGGGTTCAACAACTGATATTATTAGTCGATTGGCGCGTGGTATTGGAATAACGAATGAGAAACTGGATCATATTTTGAACAGAATTGAAGATGCGGAATCACGAAGTTAGTTTTCAGATAAACATTCCTTCCAAGTAAAAAAGTTGTTTTCTTTGTAACCTTAAAAATGAAGTTTTTTTTCCTTATTGTTGTACCAAACACATAGTTTGTCAGTTATTTATTAACAAATTTAGCTTAAGAGGCAAAATAGTATGTTTATGAATTCAGCTTATCAACTGTTATTTAATTTACGTATTCGTACCAATAATTACTACTAGAAAGTGTTTAACATCATAGTATTACAGTTGATACATTACGACCAGCAGACTTGCAGCGCCTTATTGATGGGATTATTGATGATCTCATAGCACTGGAAGCACCGATTAGTGGATTTTTTGAGGACGTGGATCAACTTAAACGTTTGCGTCATTCAGAAGCAAATGATTATTATCAACAGTATGTTCCTCATTCTCGAGAGTAGCAGCTTAGTCATTAAATGAGCAAGATGATTTATCTCAAAGAATGGCTGCATTCTAGACTTTCTTTTAAAAAACATCAATACAGTCACAGAAATGATTTTTCGTCGGTATTATCTGAAGATATTGATGTTTTAAATAGTCCCTTAATCTAGTTGGGGATTCTTTTATTACTAATAACTTTTTTATTAATTTATTATTTTTTTTTTTCAAGATTTATCGTATTTAATAATAATGATAATAATAGTAATAATAATAATTGTTGCTATTCGAGTAAAGTTGTTCCTGTTAGGGTATATGGATTAGAACAGCGTCGTCAGGCTTACCTCTCGGGAATGCGGACACAGTTTGTGACACGTCTTGGTATCCGAACGGAACAATTAATGCGAGAGAATGAACAACGACGTGAATCAATACGTCGTACAACGTATGGGCGCGTAGAAGATTGCATACAATGGGTTCGTTCACGTCTGGTAAGCTGTTTTGTAATCAACATAAGATTGCATTCTCAACAATTAGGAAAAGGAAAAAAAAAAAGAATTGCCAAGGAGAAATTTTGCCAAGTTTTAGAATTTAATAGTCCAAATAATTTTCCTCTTTACTACAATGATTTCAAAACATTGCTGTCTCAGGAAAAATTATCGGCGATGGAATTTGTCGAAGATCTGGAACAGCTAGAAGGCATGTTTGAAGAACACAAAGTTGACAACCATGAAATACAAGACTTTCGACAGAATGTTGACGAATGTATTGCTAGACAGGTTATTTAATTTCTTTTTTTTTGAATATAAAGTAAATCGTCTATTAGAGACAAAATCAGGCGTAACGAAAATTCTAGAGGGTTGCTTGAAGTATACGGATTTCTGTTCTAGAAATAGTATAACATTCTACTTGCCGTCACAAATAGAAGGATTTTTGTAGCATAATTTTTAAAGGTGTTGCGTTATTCGCTGTTCGGAAAAGTTAGGGGTTAAATGGAGCATTCTAAATCTGCTTTTATTATATTTCAGTACTAACATATTGACGTGAGCCACTAATATATATCTGATTCAAGCTAACAACTGGTAAAAGTTTGATTTGAGCCTTCCTTTCTTGAAGTTTTTCCTTCCTGAGTAATTCTAACGTTTTCTGAAGTAGTTGTTATGTCACGATCCGTACTGCATAGTAAATGATGCAATTGATAGTACAGCATTTGTGTAGTCATCATCGATAAATATTCAACTGGAAGAATTGATGGTCTTTTAATTTTAGTAGGATTTGAGTACATAGGAATTTGAATGACCTTGGCATCGAGCAGAACGTGTTGGAAAACTTTATCGTTTTAAACATCGTCCGCCAAGGAGCTATTAATTGGCCTTCCACTATTTCTCATTTTCTCTTCTTCCTTCTTTTTCTTCTCTTCTGTTCCGTATCTAATCTCTGACTTCTACCTCCTTCTCTTTGGGAGAAGGTCATTGGCGTTTATTTCGTTTCACCAACTTACGTTCAAGGGGTTTTCCTGTGGATCAAATTGCAGTAAACACATTGCGATGAATAAAGCACTTCATTTATTCATACATGTTAATTTCTTAGCAATTTGATAGATTTTTACAAAATGAAAGTTCAAAAAATTAAACAAGTTCAAGATTATTTAAAGCCATATACTTCATTATTTCCTAGATTGGTAAAGGCTTTTGAGTAATTTTAAATCATAAATTGGTTTTCTACAAAGACTGGTGATTTCCATCTAAAGAATCATCGATACCAAATGGAACATTTATAAAACGAAGTAAAATATACATGAATATAATGAATTGCGAAATGGTAGTTGAGGTAAAGGCATAGTTATAAAAGGAAATCTAATGACAAGTTTGATTGTATTATCTGATATTTCATCTTGGAATGAAAATTTAAAAAATAAGAAATAAGTGGTAGTTTTCGAAAAAATTTATGGATGAAAAATGATTACTCGATTTTATAGATTTTATTCTATTTTCAGGCTGAGATATCTGCGGAAGATACACATGAATATTGCGAACTACTTAGTATATTGGAAAGTGAATATCAGCAGCTGCGAGATTTATCAGCCGGGCGTATGCTTGATTTGGATACTTTGATTGCTTTTATCCGTGGAGCACAGCATGAAATTGTTTGGATCAATGAGAGAGAAGATATTGAAGTCTCTAGAAATTGGTCTGATATTAAACAGCTTGATTTACCAATGCTGCAGAATTATTACAAACAGGTATGCCATCTTGTATGATTGTGATAAACTGTGTTTCCATGCTAATCCTTATTTTTTTTTTTCACTTTTTTCCAGTTTATTGTAGTTCCATTTTTATAGGACTGAGTTTGAATTGTGAATATATTACTGTTGACTTATATATATAGTTCTGGAAGTATTATAGATTAAGATGTTCGAGAAATTGTTTTCGTGGCCGAAAAAGACTTACTAAATCTTTAGATTTTAGCTTTCATACTTCGTTATTTAAACTTTTTTTAAATGGAATCTAGGCACTATTGTAGTTCCATTTCTTTTCTGTAGAACTAAAGTTTTACGAATGAATTTGAATTGTGAATGTATTAGAGTAGTTGTGGGGGTATTGGAGATTTATCAAGTGATTGATAAAATCATTGGTGGTCTGTGAGAAATTTGCATCTCATTTTCTAATTTTTAAATTGTTATTATCAAATTTCAGTGCTGATTTTTTTAGCTCCTTCATGAAATCGAACTTCGAGAGCCACGTTTCAACGATGTGCATAACAAAGGTGCAGCCCTTCTAAATCAAGGTCATCCAGCTATTCATGTAATTGAATTTTATCTGAATGCAATGCAGCGGAAGTGGGATTGGTTGTTAGCACTGTCAAAATGTCTCGAACAACACCTTCGCGATGCGCTTAACCTCAATTCGGTATGATTCTACAAATGCACGTGTGAGGGTATACAAAAGACAAAGTATAACATTTTGAAAATATTTTTGGAAAAAAAATATTTTTGCTAATGGCATTGTTTGACCAAATGGCAACCTGAAAAGAAAAAATAAGTTTATGAAACTCGAAGCACTGTTATATATTACTATCTTTCTGTTCCAATGTCTTTTTCGTTGTTTCATAGTAAATTTGATCTCAAATTCAAATACAAAGTTTTAACTGTTATTTTTTATTAAAAGTAACTCCTTTCACAATGTTTTTTTTTCTTTTGACAAACAAATGAATAAATGCAACTACAACTGCTGAAGAGACTCTATCCGTAAAGATGTTGTGCATATAAGATATACAACACCGATTAAGAGACTTGTCATACTCAATTTTTGATACTCTAAATGGCGAAAAAAAAAAGTGATTACTAAATCATTACTTCAATGTGCAAATAATGAGTAATGAAAAAAACTCACTAGTTTTTCGTTTGTGGTAAAATGTTTAATAAATTGTTTCAAGATCCTAAGAGATTTATAATTTTGACTAAGCTAGTTGCCATCAGTTTCGCTGAATGTAATATTCAATAAAAATGAGAAAATTTTAACTTCTTAGCTGCTTGAGAATGAAAAGTCATGCCCTTTTGTTCAAAATATGTCATAGTTCTGGTGCTGATTCTCATTTATATCGCAAAGCATTTATGACATACGTTATAGAACAATAAAAAGGCATTCAACAGAAGATTGGTCGTAAAAGATCTTATATACTATTTTGCAGTTCATGGAGGATGCGAATACTGCAGAAGAATGGATGATAAAGCAGTCCGAAATGTTGGAAAGGAAATACAGTAGAAGTGAATTTTCATTAGAAGAAGGTGAACAAATGTTGCGCGAATTGGATGAAATCAGTGAATTAATCAAAAAATATCATAGTATTTTGATGACACTTACGGAACGAAGTTCCCAAATTCCACCCCTATGGCAACGCGGTGAGCGGACTCAAAGACCGATTTCGATTATTGCTTTGGCTGATTACACCGATAAAGATATTACAATTAGAGAAGGTGAGAAATATGATTTTTGTTGAAACGTTTTTGCTGATAATATATTTCATTTCTGTAGCTCAGTGCTTCACAGTTCATGTGATGGACAACATAGTTCATCACGGTACACCGTCTCATTACATTATGTGATTTTTGATTATGACTTTATTTATTTACAAATTTAAATAGTAATCATTTCTGGACTCAACTTTCATTCTTTCTAATTAAATGCTTGTTCTTGTTTAGGTGATGAATGTATCTTGACCGACAATTCGGATCTGATCCATTGGAATATTCGTGGACCAGGTGGCTCAGAAGTCTTGATACCATCTGTGGTGTTCCGTATTTTACCGCCAGATGCTCGCATCACAACATATCTTAATCGATTACATACAAGTTTGGAAAAGTTACGCCGGCTTTGGGGTCAGAAACATCGAATGGTACGATACAATATGGTGCTAAATACAATGACTCAGATACGGTAAACATATGCTTCTTATAATTCATAGTAAATAAGAAATGAAACTGTGGAAGTAGTGATAGTGATAAAATCTATTTTTCATTGTTAAAATACTTTGGATGAGGGATTGTTTAGCTTATGGGAATCTGACCAAAATTTTATGAGAATGAGAATTCACGTAGTTGCTTCTCATCAGAAATTTCTAGTTTTTAGTAATTGGAATCTGAACACTTTTGCTGCAATGACTCCAGAGGAAAGGGATACGATCATTAAAGCTTTGAATGATGATGTTCACAAACTGCTTTCCGAGCTGGAATCGAATGATCCATTGGCAATGCGACTTAAGGAAGAACTAAAACTAACCAATGAACATTTTTACGATCTTCTAAATCAAATGAATCGTCCCAAAGGTACCACTGATTTTACAAGTTTAGAAAGTGTTTGGATCCACTATGCCTTTGAAAATTTGATAGTCAAAAGTGGCATGCTATTTTTATCTCGTTCTGTAACTGGAATATTCCAGAACCGGAAGTTGGAGCTCAGTTTGATGCGAAAATTACGGAGTTGCTTGGTAAACTTGATGAAGCATATCGGAATCTAAATGATCGGGTTATGCAGGTAAAATTTTTCAGTGATGATCACGTAGGGATTGAAACTCAGAGGGATTGAAACTGTATAACATTTCCGGCCTTCATTTTTTATTGAAAAAATTCATTTCAGAACATTCCAAGATCACGAGAAGAGCTTGAAAACCTGACCATTGAACATAAGGAGTTTGAAGATGGATTGCAAACATTAGATGTTGATGTATCAACTGTGAATGAGCTGTTTCGTCAAATTGTTGAACCAACGCCATCACAACGAGCTAATTTCGATCATTTAAGTGGTCGTTGGGAGGATTTATGGGAATTGTCAAGAATGTATGTTGAACGGTTGAAGTCTTTGGAAGCTGTGCTCAATGGACTCATTGAGGTAATTCTTGAATAACTCTTGCTTACGTCCTTATTGTTTCTTCTTATTTTGATCTTTTTTTGTCTCTGTAAAAAATCAAATAGATGTAGGTAGCGATCATCTTTCCCGGAATATGAATCTCAGATAGCAAAAGTTTCCCTTAACTTTGATTACGAACATTTGTTTAAAGATGCAGTACAAGAAAACTTTGAAAATGTAATGCTTTTTCATGCTCGTAGTTTAATTTATTCTATTAACTAATGCTTGTATAATAACTATTAAACTCCTTTATCAATTTCTTTATATGTTGGAGATCACTGTTGTTGTTCTCGCTATGATTGCTATTGGTTTCATAGCCTTAAATAAGTTAATGTTTAGATTCCAGAATGAATTGGAAATCTGTGGTTTAATGCGACTTGTTCTAACTGTCATGTGTCATTATTATGATTTTAACTTCTGCTTCTTTTTATTCAACTCTCATCAAAACTCTTTTCACTTGCTGAGTTAACCTTTTCTTCCTTGATCAACCAATTTGATGCTTGTCTTGTTTCATAGACTTTTTAAACCAAAATGTAGAGTGTTTTATTGTGTATATTATGTGCAAAGATATATTTTGGTCCTTTGGATGTAAGTTTTATGGAAATAATCACATTCCATTTCAACTTATCTACCTGTTCTTAGTTTACAAATCATTATATATGAATGGGGAAAATTTTTTGATAGAATTAGTACTTAACAAGCAGCTTAATTGGCTTATGATGTGAACAGTTTTTGTAGGTAGCTGATATTGTACGACAACATGAAATTTTACTCAGTTCATTTGATGATATGCCAGCTTCTTTGGAGAAATTACGAGGTGTCCATTCGCAGCTGCTTGAATTGAATATGGTGTTGCAACAGCAGCAGACCATCGTTGATGCTGTCAATCGCAATATTGCCCTTTTACGTCAGCATGTTTCACGAACTCGCCAGTCACCAAAGTAAATTTAGAGAATTATATTTAAATCGGAAGAACGGGACTGTTGTTTGATTATGCATCGTTGAGCATCGATAAAAAGTAAAATTTATTGAATCTTAGAGCAATTTTATTTCGTTGAAAAACGTCTCATCAGTTTGCTATAACTGTTTCCTAACTGCAATGACTCCTATTTACAGTCACCCAGATGTTGATCGATTAGAAGACGAAGTACAGATGTCAACCGTTCGTTGGGAAAATGTTTGTTCACAAGTGGTCGATCGTTTAAAAACTGCTGAACATGCTCTACAAACTCAAATGGTTTACCGTACCGAATACGAAAACGAAATCAGATGGCTTGACAATGTGGAAACAACCATTAATAGGTGAATTCTAGTCCTAGAAGTTTTCAATAATATCTTATTGTTATCCTAATAGTTTCGTAGATGGGCATATTATGAAAAAAGAATCAATATTTAGAGGTTGGAAAGTGACTGACAGTTTTTTTTTTTTTTTTTTTTTTTTTGTTTTAACAGATGGATTTATTTGAAAAACAATGAGGTCTTGATAGTGAGCGGAAACTTGGTTGATATTCTTTTTTACCACTCTTGAATTTATCTGAAAATTTCTTCAAACAATAAAAATGAAAAAAAAAATTATAGTTTGCGTAAACCTGAAGAACTACATCCAGAGCAGTACCAACAGCATTTGGATCAACTTATTGCCGAGTATTCTCAATTACAGGAACGTACTGAGGCAGTAGAAAATGTGAACCGTGAAGGAGGCAAATTCATTCGTGAAGCGAAGGTATCTTTAATTGCGTTCTAAAGTGGAAATACTTCTATAACCTGGTAATTGTAATGATATTGAATAAACGATATTTAGATATTTTCAGATTAACTTTTTTTATCGTTCAAGTCACTGATTCCCATTCGAGACTTCCAAACTCAGTGGTGGTCACTCATCTAATTTGAGTGTGACAACTTAATATGTTTTTTAGGGGCGAAAAATTGTAGCATTATTTTCAAAATAGGGTTACATTTTTAGGGTTACGATAATCGTTTGATACAATACATGGAAAATGTCATGAATATTCACGGTCCAGACAGCCGGAATAACTTCCGTCGCTCGATACCGCAACCGAAGAATGGGGTCCAGCAAGTAACGGAAGAATTAGAACATCTAAATAGACGATTTGCTCAACTGAGCTCACTAATACTTGAACGTCGTAACATAATGCAAGTATTGATCCAGAACTGGAAACGAAAAAAGCAAGTTAGTATTTTTTAACTTCAAAGGATCGATGGCAGTGTAAGATCAGGATGATTTGTTTTAGGGGATTTATTCGTATCTTTCTTTCGAGAATGTTTCTTTTTTTTTTTTTGAAATGGATTAACAGCTAAAAATTAGCTACACCACACAGCAAATTGAAATTTCTGAAAATCAAAAGCAGTTGTTTTTATGAATCAGACTACATAACATAATGTCGATAAGATAACTGCGCTTCCAGCCTGTCTAGTACTTAGGTGCTACTGCAGTGAAATGAGTCACGGATCACTTAATGATGTTATTGACATGAAATAATTCCAGAAATTAAGTGGCATTTCAAAAATCTGAAATTTCGAAACCAACCGATTTCAACAAAGTTGTAACCAGCTGTGCGCCGACACACGCTTACATATTTTAGCATTCATTTCCACTTTTTTCTAACACAATTCGTAGTTCTTAGTGGCTTGTTTTATTTTTCTTGGCTCTATTTGGCCATTTATTGCCACTTTTTCTTAGCTAGCTTCCCTAATTAATAGCAGCAGCAGTAGAGCAGAAGTGTTGGAAATATTAATTGACACAGAAATCAGCATTGACACAACTTTTTTTGGAATTACTGGATAAACGATTGTTTTGTAATTTAAAATTGAAATATTCTTCATGTTATTCTGATAATCTGAGTACTCAAACCAGATGTCACTTAAGTGTTAGTAATGTAGCAACAGATTCACTGTTGAAATCTTACTTTTCTCAAGAACGCTTATTACCTTCTCATAATACTTTCTGATGAAGTGTTTTCAGCTTATCATTATAACTTCTACATCGAAACTAAAAAATTTTGTCGTGAAAAGTTGTTGTGATCGTTAAGTACTTCGTAAGTCTTTTCGAAATAAGAAAACACAGTCTTGAATTCGTATATAGATTTAAATACTAACAGTAAATTGACCTCTCCAAGCTATATGCATGCTTTGAACAACATTTTAGGAACGCAGCAATGATGCAAATCATGGATGTGTCGAGGAAGAATAGCCTGCAACTTTGTAGATTTTAAAAAACAGAACTTTCTCTTGTGGATTTGAAAAGAAAAACGGAATTTTTATGAATACTGTGCAGTAATCTGCCTCTATTGGGTATTTCAGACTGCACTTCACAAACTTTTTTTTTTTTTTAATACGCCCTTCCAGTCTTACCGTTGCCTTGCAATTGTATGCATTTTTGTTTTCATTTCTTGCTTCTTCTGCTTATTCTTTTCACATCAAGGTACTATTTTTTAGATCGGTTGGTTTTGGCCTCAAAACGTTCGTCATGTTGTTGTCCTATCTCTCTCATTCACTTGCAGACAGACAGTTCAGTGTTGCCATTATAATAAGATAGCATTACTTGACATGTAGCTTCTCTACTTTGCGCAACACATACACTCATCCATCTTCCTGCTGCCACGCAGAGTTGTCTTCCATTTGTTTTCTAGGAAGAGGGCGAACGAAGACGAGCTGAAGAGGAGGAAAAACGTCGCCAGTTTGAAGCAGCTCGACTGAAAGCACTGGAGGATGCTGATCGTCTTAGGAAGCAACGTAAAGCTGCTGAAGATGCACGTCGAGCAGCGGAAGAAGCCGATCGCTTACGCCGTGAGCGTGAGGCGGCGGAGGATGCATGTCGAAGAGCTGAAGATGAAGCACGACGAAGAATGGAAGAAGATGCTAGACGTAGAGCAGCAGAAGATGCAGCTAGACAAAAAGCAGAACAGGCTGAGCGGGAAAGAAAAAGAAAAGAAGATGGGGATCGAAGACGTCGTGAGGAAGAAGAACGTCGTCGTCGAGTAGATGAAGCGGAAAGGGAACGTGAAAGGAAGCGGTTGGATGACGAACGCCGACGGGCGGAAGAAGACCGTCGTCGGCAGGAGGAGCATGAACAGCGGTTACGTGAAGAAGAACGGCGTTATCGTGAGAAAGAACAAAAACCAAAAGTAGGCCCTCATTTGTTTATAGCCATGAAATCGTTTGATCTCTATTTCTGTATTTTGGAATTATATATAGAATGAAAACATTCTCGAGTCCATAAATACGAGCCGGAAAAACGCAACTTCAACTATTTGCACAACGGAATGTTTTTCAGTTGGTTCTCGCGAAATGTTTTGTGCAGTTATTTTCGAATTGCCGCACAATCCAGCACTTATTCTTTCCTTAATTAGAAGATTAACCGATAATTTGTTTCAGATGCCTAACCTGAGTCATGGCATACAACAGGCAATTGTATCCGAGGGTGGTGAACTGGAAGAATTTGAAGAGAGTCAGAATGTTCCGGAAAGAGCGACAATAGCTGAACATGAGGATGAAATGCAAATGTACCAAGAAGAAACAATTACTAAAACACAATTTTATGAAATGGAGGGCATTTTGCACAAACAAACTGGCGAAATTTTAACTTTTGTTGAAGCCATTCGCCAAGGATTGCTAGATTTGCATTCTGGCGGAGGGGAATTCTACGATATTGTTTCGGGTGCTAGAATTAGTCTGGAAAAAGCTGCAGAATTGGGATATATTGATGGTGGTTTCCATGAAGTGCTTAACACTCATTATGGCATACGTCATCCAGAAACTGGTGAAAGTTTGTCTCTGTTAGAAGCTATCCAGATTGGCTTGTATGATCCGGATATTCGTCAATTGCGAGATATTGAAACTGCTGATATCCTGCCAATGTACGATTGCATCTCACGAGGAATCATAACACTCGACACACAACATCGTTTGGTTAAAATGGGTGTGTTAAAGCTACCACCCTTGTCACTAGAAAGTGCTATTGAACAAGGCGTTGTAAATAAGGAAACAGGCTGCTTCACTGGAAAATACACGAAAGAGACAATGCCACTTAAAGATGCCCTATATAATGGATACATTCAGATTGGTGGATGCCGTCCGCATACAATGATTGCTATCACTTTATCTGACTGTCTTGAAACTGGCCTAATTGACGGATATACGGGCGAATTTGTGGACAAACATAGTAGTGAAAAAATTACCTTACGTGAAGCTGTTTCAAAACAATATGCACTCTTAAATTTGCATGTTCCAGAAATAGTGAAAACGGATGAAAATCGGCGCATCACTTTAGGTGAAGCGATTGTGCGTAATGCAGTAAATACTCGTCAAGGGAATTTTAATGATTTCCTAAAAAATCAGACCCTTACTCTCCAAGAAGCTTTTTTAAGAGATCTCATACAAAAACCGCTGACGCTTACAGAAATCAGTCAAAAAGATTTAATTGATTCAACAAATAAATTCATAGATGGAGGCACCAGGGGTCGCTTCACATTATTAGAAGCAATTGCTGTTGGTTTATTGGATCCAGATGTACGTCATATTGTGGATCCTGATGAAAAAGATGTGATTTCCATTACGGAAGCTTTGGAGCGAGGACTACTAGAACCTGATGGCAGAATTATACTTCATAAGCAGCAGAAAGTTTTTTCTGTAAATGAGGCAGTTAGTGATGGATTATTGATCAGACGTGTACGGCATTCTATTTTTAATGTGAAAGGTATCAAAAATACGAAGACGGGAGAAAACCTAACTTTTAATGAGGCTGTAGATCGTGGTGTAATTATACTGCAAGCCGAAAGAATTGTAGACCTCGCTGCAAATGAAAGTTTTCTTATAGCCGATTGTGCGGACAAAGATTTGTTGGATCCCATGCTTTTTGAGCTCTTAACTACATCGTTGGGCATCAGAAATGGTCCGAAGCAAGATATGACAGTGATTCGCGCTGTAGCAAAAGAATTCATTGATCCCAAAAAAGGTATTTATGTTGACAAAAGGTCAAATAGGGAATTGTCTCCAAAGCAGGCTTATGACGATGGACTGTTGACTCTTAAAGGAGCATTGCAATTGTCGGCTTTGCTTGACATTCATCCATCTCTGGTAACACCAGTCAAAAAAATTGATCATAAGAAACGAATTAGACGACCAGGGCAAAAAGAAGGTGTCACTACTGATGAAGTGAAGGTAACACTGGCAGAAGCGATGAGACAAGGTTTAGTCGATTCACGCACTCATCGTTTTCGGCAGGGCGACACTGAGATGAGCTTCGAGGAAGCATTAAGGCAGGGGTTAATCCATCCATCCGATGAGTGGATAGTTCCGTCCAAAACAGGTGCTGGTCCTACTGTAGAAGAAAAGATAACTGAATCTGTAACTGAAACAGCGCAGCAATTAGCGCCGAAGTTTTATCCAGATAAAAATATTGAAGAAACTGTGACAACTGTTAAGAAAGTGAGAAAAACAGAAACAACGGCATTGGGAGGTCCAGGCGGTGTATCTGTTTATCGCGCAGTTACAGGCAGTAAAGACTCGTTCGAAATACCAGCTAATGGTTATCATATTCTGGAGGCAGAACGTAAAGATTATGTTAACCTTAAGACAGGAACTGTTTCTATACCAAATTTAAGTCGTTCGCTAACTTTGCAAGAAGCATTTCAACTGGGTATCCTCGACAGTAGAAGTATTACTGTCGTTGATCCATCCACTGGCAGTCATGTTCCTATTGCCGAAGCAATGAATAAGAAAACAATTGACAAAAACGGTTGCATGGAACGAAATGGTCAAATCATTGATTTTGAAACTTTGATTAATAATAAGATAGTACTAGTGGAGGCTGAGCCACCAGTTGGGTTAGGAAGTTCGACAAAGAAAGTGATACAGTTTTCACCAGGTTCTGAAGCAATCATAAGTTTTCATCCAATTGGGACTCCAACTGTGGAAGAAACAGAGCAGTCTTGGACATTCGATTCAGGTAGAGGTGAACTAGTTGATCATATTACTGGAGAACGGCTTACTCTTGATGCAGCTCTTGCTTTCGGTAAAATCGGTCGAGAGGATCTGCGTGTCTTTGACACCTTGACAGCACGTGAAATGTCATTTGAAGAGGCTGAAAAGTGGGGTGTTATCGATGAGAAAGACCGTTATTATTTGGATAAACGGGAAAACAAAAGATATTCTCTGACCCAAGCGGCATTGCAGCACCGTGTTTTTCCAACAGGTGGTGTACCCGAAAATGCTTCTGATGCGATCCATACTACTTATAAAATACAAAAGCGAAGTGAATTATCGAAAAAGGAAGCACTGTTTGGTGGGCCTGCAGAATATGCGGAACAAACGTTGACGAAGGTTCTGAATTCAGATCGATACAATGCTCAGAGCGGTAAGTTTACTGATCCGCAGACGCAAAAGCAAATGTCCTTGAAAGAATCAATAATTAAGGGATTATTCAATCCATATGACACAATCGTACTAGATAAACATAGAATGCGTGAACTTTCATTTCTAGAAGCCATAGATGAAAATATTATTAATGATACGGAAGGAACAGTGTTGGATACAGAAACAGGGAAATTTGTTGACCTAAAAACAGCTCATTTGCAAGGCCTTCTAAAAAGCAAAGGTTTATCTCACAGTCTGGAAGAAGCTTTGGTATCTGGGAAACTTGATTTATGTACAGGTCAAGTGACAACAGCAGATGGAGGTAGTGTAAAAGTGGAAGATGCTATTGCAGCTAAACTTATCGATAGCCAAAGCATCATTTTCCGGGATCCATCAACAGGTGAAGAATTATCTTTTAACACAGCGGTTGAGAACAAAATTATTGATCCTATCAAAGGCATAGTTTACATCAAGAATATGACTGAAATAATGACCTTTCCTCAGGCTCTTACTAGTGGTGTGTTAATTGGTTCTGGTTCAAGACCGTTTACTCCACAGAAGCCTCATTCAACACGCCTAGTAGAGCGGAAATTGCAGTTCACTCCTTATGCGCCAGAGCCTACTAAAAATTCGGCAGTTGCTGTTATGGAACAACGTACTTTGGGTTCAGGACGTCAGGAAATCGTTGATTTAGGTGGTGGAAAACATGTAATGGTGAAAGTTGTGCGTGGAGAAGGAGGTGTGGAGAGAGGTGAATACGTTGATCCATCATCTGGGATGAAGTTTACGATCCAATTGCATGGTGATCCCTACATGACTGAGGCCAAGACCGTCGTGAAAAGTACTGCACAGGTGCAGTCTATTCAGTTGGAACCGCATGCTGAATTTGTTGGGATTGATAAGATAAGAGATAAAAGAAATGGTCGTGTCATGTCACTGCAAGATGCTCAACGAATTGGTATTGCGCGCATTGACAAAAAAGGAAAGCAAATGACGAAGACATACTCAGTTTTCAGATCGAACATTCAAAATGCTGTCACAAGAGGTGTTATCGATGCTCGTGGTGAAAAATTAAGCTTGGAAGATGCTGTTCGAGCTAAATTGGTTGATTTACAAAATTTAACTTACCTCAATCCAAAGACAGGTGATGCCTTGACACTGGCACAAGCGGCAAACATGGGTCTTGTGGATGTTACTTTATCGGAAACATTACCAAAGGGTGTATCTCACCCGGCAAGTGGAGAAAGGATATCAGTACAAAGAGCTATAGAACTCGGTGTTATAAATCCGAAAACCGGTGAGGTGAAGAACCCGTTCACAAATGAGAAATTAGCTTGGTTAGATATCATGAAACCGGTATATACAAGTCTTACAATGGAAGGAGTGTACGATCCAACAAAAGGATATGGAGTACCAGTGTTAACTGCTCTGACCGAAGGTCTCATTGATGCAAGTACAGGCCAATATTCAAACATCATTACAGCAGAGATAATAACTCTGAAGGATGCTTCTAATAAAGGTTTAATTGATGCTGAAACTTATAAAGCCATAACAGAACCTTTTCTATTTGATTACCGTACAAAAAGAAAACTTAATCTAATTGAGGCCGTCCAGAACAAACTAGTGGATCCTAGAAACAAAACTATTCAATTTGATGAACAGATTATTATGCCTGTTTCTCGTGCAACCGCAGAGGGTAAAATACCGATGTTTATTGGTGAGAAACTAAAACGCATTGATAAAATGGCATTCGCGGAAGCGTTGAGCAAAGGCATGATTGATGTTGCGCAGAATCAATTTACTGATTCCGATTCGGGAAGGCAGATGTCAATTAATCAAGCGATTGAGGAAGGATATATTGATACCGGTAATGTTGAAGCTTTGGAAGGTTCAGATGAGCGAAATTTGGCAAATATATTGTTCAGGGAAGAATTCGATGAGATTTCTGGACGAATAAGGGATAATAAATCAGGTCTTTATTTGACCTTCAAATCCGCTGTTGATCGTGATATTATTGACGGTGATTCTTTATTGCACGATCTGGAATCTAGCCATACAATGACAATAAAGGAAGCATTGAATCAGGGACTTATTGATCCAGATGGTAGATATGTTCACATACGCACTGGAATCAAAATTACACTTAAGGATGCCTTAGCAAGAGGTCTGATCGCTTTGATTGCATCTCCTATGCAAGCTGCTCAAGCGGTCACAGAAGCTGTGAAACGCCGTGATGCTGAAGGCTATAGGTTTAAATTGGAGTCAGTAAATGAAGGGAAAATTGGGAGTGGCACACCACGCTATAGGGAAGAGATAACGGTCGGAAAGTTTTCATCACCTCATCGTCCTGAGCCTAGTCTCTCACGTCGAGTGAGATCTATCTCAGAAGCATCACGAGGAAGTAGAGGACAAAGCCTAATTGATGACCCTCAGGCTATGGCCGATTTGCAGCACGAGTTTTTAGACAATCTACGGGAACGCGGCTTCGATGTTGAAGAAAAAGTGATCGAACATCCAGAAAACAATTTACGAGTTTCAATCCGTGAGGCTGCAGAAAGTGGCTTGTTAGATGTTATCACTGGCGATATCGTTCATCCAACAAGTGGTCGGCGATACTCAATTCCGCGAGCGGTGCATATGAAAATGATGACTGCTGATGCAGCCAAGCGAATGATGGAAACGTTGAATATCTGTGTGGAGGAGTTAGGACAGATACCATTAGTTGAATCTGTTAGCGTTAGTCCTTCAGAATCTGGAGTTAAAGTTTACACGAAAACTGTCAGTTGGCGTGGCCAGCCATCTGAATTGCGACAAACTACTGATCCACTTGGGCCATACACAACCTATACATCATCGACATCATCCACAACGATGCGAACTTCTGATATGTTTCCTCAGTAATTAATTACTCAGTTTTGATGGTATTTTTGCAGTGCTATTTTGTTTAGTGCTCTTTTTTTATCCCTTAAAAGTGTAATATTGATTATTTTAAGAAGCTTTCCCTCAAAATTTAATGTTGGAAATAACTATCACACTTTCTAATTGAATCAAAAACACTGTGGAACATCTGCCTAAATTTCTTGGTCATTCATTTTTGATAGATAACATTCAACAATTAATTGTGCAAGACACATTGTTTACTCGTATAATGATGTTCATTTATATATTTTTAGTATTCTCTAATTCCTTATCCTAAATTTAACGCTTTTAACAACGATGGAGCTGCTCTCCTAATTTTGAGACGATACATTTATTGTCCTCTCTATAAATATGCAGTAGTAGAAAATTTCTTATTTTTTATAGAGTTTGAAATTTCAACATGAAAAAGCAACTACTGTTTAATTTGATTACACAAAAGTTTAGAATCAGAATGACTGTTTTTTATTAGCTGAGGAAGTAGGTGCTGTTATGTTTAGGCGTTTCTTTTTTTTTGATTAAGTAAGGGAACTGAGTGTAAATATGGAAGTATGCCGCCATTGAGACTGTGATTTCTATTAGTGTGAAACATTCATCTGAACATTACAGTTCTTTTTGTTTGTTACTACTCAGTTCACATCATTTCATTATGTTTCTTGTTCAATGGAATAGCAGAAGGTATTACTCACTGCCAGCATTTCTCGACATTACCAGTCCTTCATTGTTGCTTCACTTTCACCTGAAATATATATGGTTATTTAAAAGGTAACAAAATGGATTAACTACACAGTTGTGATCTGAATAATGGATTGAGTGATGAGTTATCCAATTCTCCCACATCAGTTAATTTCATATCCTTTGAGAATGAAATTTCGAAATTCTTCACATCTAGAAGCATTCACTTCCACATTCATTACTCATGTTGTCATTTTTCTTTTAACTAAAATCGATTTTGTAATATTCTTTTCTTTTCTTGTATATAAACTGTTTTCGTGGAAATATCGTGAAATAATAGCATGTGAAGTGTGGTTTGAAACCCCAATGGAAAAATGATGAAGACTGCGCAATTTTGAAAGCGCAAAATTGTTTTTTGCATTATTTTTGTTGAAACACTGCACATCTACAATCTATAAAAGTCAAAGATCTATGCAGTGCTGGTAAAATTGTTTTTAAATTCGTTTCAACACGAGCTAATAAGCTAGAAACAAGAGTGTTTGAACTGCTAGCTCTTGATTTCTTTGAGAGATTTCAAGGATTGGTTAATAATTTATAGATCTTCGGTTGAGTTTTGAAATTAAAGTGGTGGAGTTAGCAGGATATATTAGTGAATTTTTTCTACTCGTGGAATTCTATGGAATCTGACAACAGAGAAAATACTGAACTTATTGAATGAGACTTAATAGGCATGCGTAAAACTCCGCGGATTCTTTTCAGTAAATAGAAATATTAGCTTTGTTAGAAGCTAAGTTAACTTGATAGCTTTTCATAATTCATTCCAACTAATCGGTTGGCTTTTTTTGTTTGATCGACACAGCAGTCATATTTGTAATTTAAAAAAAGTCCGGTGTATTGTAAAAAAAGAAAAGTTTTCCACTTCAAGTCTTCGGTATCTTAAATTCTGGTCATTAACGACACAGACAAACAGTAAATGAAAGGAATTAATGACAGTTTATTTATGAAGAGTTTATTTACCCCTTATGAATTATTTCATATTGTAAAAAATGATTTGGTAGGAATTTATTGTATTAAACTCATGATATTAATCCCATCAACTTATTTCTAATTTATTACAATTCATAGCATTAGAAAAATCTTTATATAAGGGTTTGCAGTGGAAGATGTTTGAATACAGTTAATTTTTTTCTAGCATCAAGAGAATGAACCATAATTTGATTGATTAAGAAAAAAATTTGTGTTCTCAACTGTGCAGATCCTCGTAGACTTCGTCCTTTTACACCTTTCATTCGTTTAGAGTTGTAATCAGATTGAAAAATGAAGTCTCCCGAATTGACTGATTTATCAAAAGGCGATCAATTAATGGAAAGTTAGAGTTGGAGTTGTTGTTTCACTATAAATTAAAATTTTCCAACTATATTTTCTCTTTACGTCATAACCTAAAGTAAACTGAGCAAATTTAATTCAAATATGAGTGGAAAAGTGAATTGAATAATGGAAAGATTATGCAATCTTTTCATTATTTTTGAGAGTGTTTGCTAAAGCAGTAAATTCTAAAGCATTTTCATCAAAAACAGATTACGGGGATATCTTATCTATTCTGAGACTGAATTCGAGCAGTTAGCTTATTTTATCATTTGTAGAAATTGTAGATTTGTTTAGTAAATTGTCAGAAATTTTTTTCTCAATTGCAATTTTGTGATAGGAAAGGTACTGCTCTTTTCAACGTTACATCTACCATGCTTACTTTTAGAAAATATGGTAACTAACCCTATAAAATTACTTCATTATTGATCACGCTAAACTAGCATTTTTTTTTCACTATAGAATTTGGAATTATCACATATTTATGCTATCTAAAATGACAAAACAATATTAATAATTAAGGAACAGATAGAGTAGATACTTGATTTAATAAGTGGTAAGTAGTTGTTAATGATATTGATTTGCAGGAAGATTTGTATAATGAATGCACTGAAAAACAAATAAAAATGTCGGAAATTCTAAATGCATTTGGTGCGATAAGTATAGCAATTTCGGAAGGTTTCTGGCTGGTCACCTCGTCAGAGGATGTGTCATCAGCTTTTGATCGAATGCAGGTTTCGACAACTTTAAGTCAACAATAGAGTTTTTTTTTTTATATTAAGATGGTTTACGTTATATGTTTTTGGTGGTGGAAGAATGTAGTTGCAGACAAGATACTTTCCATTCAAAATATGATCTTACGAATTACTTCTTAGATTTGTGGTTATTACAGGAAATTCAAATCAGTTTATAGTTAACTTCACAGCGACGTATTTGATATTTATTCTTTAAGAAAATGAGAATTGAATTGTTGACTTACGCATCCAAAGTGCAAGAATATATCGAGGAAACAGATCGTTTGTGTACGGAAGGCGCAGAATTTCTCACGCCGGATCAATTTAATAGTCTAAAAGAGTATCGAAATAAACTTGAAACAAACTACAATCAACTTTTGCAGCATGTCGATGTCATTTTGCCAAGGTATATTCAAGCCTATTTAGAAATTAGTTTAAAACAAATGTTGTAATTAGGTATTGAATCCTTTCTGCATTAATTATTTTCTATTTTTTACCTTTTGCAGTAGTTTTAAGTAAATGAGTAATATTGCATCGATCATTTCCTATTTTTTTACATCTTGTAGTAGTTTAAATAAATGAATAATGAATAATAAAAATGAGATAAGATGAAATAAATGAGTTTTTAATTTGTTTTCGTTAAGGTTGAACGTTTTAACAAAGCTGTTGCTGAAATTTTCAAATGAATCAGATCTGCTGCATTCATTTCTAAATGAAAAAACCAGAGAATTAACCATTATCAGAGCCGAAAGTGGTGACTCGCAAGTGCTTCAAGCGTCACGCCAGAAAGCTGAAGTAGATTACATTTGATTACTAGATTGAATTTGATAGCTTTCAGTTATTGGTCAGTTCTTCTTTAATCATTTTTCTATTCATATTGCGATTTGCAAGGTTGCTGTAGAACTAGTTAAAGGTGCTAGCTAGTTTTCCACTGAATATTTAGGCAGTACTGGATGAAGTGGTGGCTGCAAAAGAACATTTGAAAGACATTTCCACGCTATCTACACGTATACAATCCGAAATTGATGGTTATGTGACCGAAATGCGTTCACAATATCCCAGTGCTCAGTTTCCGTCCATAGATACGCATGAATTAATGGGTGCTATTTCTAGGTTGCAGGTGGGTGAAAGCCAATTTTTCAAATGTGTTTTAAAAAATCAATAGGTCACTGCTGAAATTGCTTATTATTAAGCATGTACAGAGTAGTTTTTGCAGACTGATTACGATATTTTACTTCGAAATTGTCATGAATTATCCGCATATTTGAGTCAGCTGAAGTCACTGGTAGTGACGCATACGCAAAATGTAGAAAATCTAAACGAGTCAATCACAAGTTTAGAGAGAAAAATTTCTGAAACGGAAAGCATTTTGCGAAGCACAAATACCATGGATGGTGGCTCCATCATGTAAGTATTTACATGTTTCCTTGGATAATATTTCAGTTTTTAGCAAATATTTTTATTCGAATTCATCTTTCTAACAAATAAGATAATATTTTCTCTACTAATTTGGTGAACTTTTTGAGATGTACCTCTTAGTGTACTTCGATGTTATTTAACTATGTTTTGAATATGAACCGAAAATAGCTTCCCTGCTTAGCAATTAAGGAGCTGCATTATTTTGCTTAAAGTGAAATCAAATTTTTGACAAGTTTTTTTAATGAGCAGAAAAGTTGTTTAAAAACTTTCTCATTTTTGGGAAAAAGCAAGAAAGAGAAAAAAGTTTCTTGGAAGAAATAACATCGAAATAGATTTGTTCTGCAAAAGCAATTCAGATTTTGACTAATTATCCAAAATATTTTCTGCATTTTTCATTGATATTTCAAAAAGCATTCGGTTCGCCAAAAAAGTGCAAATGAATTGCACTTTTTTGCAGTGTCTTTTTCACGAGTTATTGCTTTACTTTCTAAAAAAAAACTGTTTCCTATAGATTAGTGTCATCCAACTAGGCTGCTTTTCATTTATCGTCATATTGCTATGTTTCAGTTTTCCAATCCAACACAACAGCAGAAGTAAGAGAGCTGTGGTATAAATGACGCATTAATTAGTTTACATATTTGTCGTAGGTTGTGAGTTCGACTTTCACCATGAAACAAGAACAGCAATTGATTTGCTTGGAAGTGATGAGAATTTCATTGAAGTGGGAATCTCTATGATTCATTATGATTATTTCCACAGCTGATCCAAGCACAGTTCTCTAACTTTCTTTGA